AGGTTCTCTACGGGCAACAAGTAAACTCGAGATGCAACCTACAACTATGCTTTTGATGCACTGAGTAGTGAGCTTACTCGTAGCAGAACGTAGTTACTTCAAGTGCTTAAAAGGCTTTTAAAATGTTGTTGAAAGTTCTTAAATATAAATTAATATATATTTATTTTACAAAATTATGAATAAAATGTATACATTGACTAGTTTCATATCCTTTTTTTACACGCTTTTATTAACTTCGCGTGTATCTATCAAATTATTATCTATGTAACATAATCTTTTAATGTAGGTAATTTGCACCAAATTTTGTACCGCCGATTGACTTGAAAATTTTAACTGGTATCAAGAACTGATGACAATACAATAACTTATAATAACACTATCCAAGTATCATCAGGATAAGATAAAATAATTTAATTTAGTTTGTACCCACTTCCGAACGTCTGAATGAATAATCTGAAACTTTACGGAATTTATATCCGATGACAATACGTAGTACTATTATGTGAGCACTAATCCAGGTCATAGCACAGAATGTGCTATGACCTGGATTAGTGCTCTCTCACAAGTCTCTAGATGTTGTACTCGTAGATGTTTGTCAATTGGCAATTATGTATGCGTCCAAAACTTACTCTTACTTTATATTATGCATTTAATTTGACAGTGTTAGGTTTTTGTAGAAATTAGCTTCAATTTTTTCTCTAGGTTATAGAACTTACGTTGTTCAAATATCCAATATTTTATAAAATATATTTTAAGGGATTTTAAGATCCCTTTTAGGGGGATACATTAAAGAGTTAGATGAAGTACCAGCGAAAGGAGTCACCATATTAATACCTAAAGCCATTAATTTGATTTTCTTTATAAATGTTACGTGCATTGAGATTTAAACGCAGGGCCTGCGTTGTGGTAACCAGCTACAATCAGTATTACTTGTTAGTAGTAATATGTGCCTTTATTTTTTATTTTTAATAGGCCTACTTCGTTAAGCGGAAAGGCCATGGGAGTAGGAAAAACTAGTACCCGTAAGCGCCACTCCGCCACCAATCACGTTTTAGCCACGGAGGATATTGAACGGAGTTAGAGTAGATGGGAGCCAGTTTTATAAATATACAACTTTTGATTTATTTTATATGACCTATTTAATAAATCATTTGCTTTGTTTTTTTCGTCTCGCTTTAAATGGTTACATTATTTTCTTCCCGTCCTACTTTCTGTTTCCTAAGTCAACGCTAAAGGTCTATGCTACATCTATGCTGATAGACGGTTTGCTGTAATAACAAAGTTGGAAGGCAGAATTACAATCGCAGTCCAACTACCTCGCAATTTTAATTTTCCCTATAATTCGAGATTTAACAGCTATCTATCGGCATCAAAATAGATATTGGGGTCGGTATGCGGAAACAATCGAGTTTTAACTCTTTCACACTGTCAAAATTTGTGTAATATAATATTGTCTAGACTCAAATGATCCAGCCATTTGAATCTAGATCATATTGTTCCAAGGAGTCTTGTCAGCCGATTTATTATGCCATAATATTATCAGCTTTCTCTATTTCTAAGAGCATCTATTGACTTATTATTTCCACCCGTTCACCTATTACTTACTTATTCACATATTCCTTTCACCCTTACTACGAAGTCACTTCATAATATAATAACTTGCGAGGTAGCTTAAATACAATACTTAAAGAATGCAGTACTTTGAATATACTCTAAAAAGATATACACATATCTTAAGTTGAAATTTTTTCGAATATTTTTAAGTATAAATGATTTGAAGTTATAAGTATGATAATTTTACTAGGTTAGCTTAACACATGCTTCATACTATGCAAACATAATTTTCCCATGATTAAGACAATGCAATCTTCGTGAGAATATACAACATAAGAAAATGAAGTTTCGTAGACTATAAAATGTTATTATAAGCATAAAATTGATCATGTATGATGAAGTCCTAAAATAATTTTAGTTTACCTTTTAAAGATATTTCAGATAATTAATTCCTCTTTTGCGTTACTTTTTAATCAAAATCAAACCTACGTGGTGTTCAATATAGTTAACGACAACTTACCCGATTATAATTCTTACCCAGAAGCTATCGTTGACCTACTAATCTACTGACCTAATGCACTTGACTCCAATACCCCGAATTGGAATCATACCCCTACGCTCACGACACCATCACCCCCTGGCGACCCAGCCACCCTCTTTATCCTTCTTACAGGTGTACTTAGTTACGTAGATTTGAGTACTGGTTTTAGTGCTGAACTCAAACTAGTTAATTTTTAAAATTTTAATTGTAAGTTAATATTCTATTTGGACATTTTTGTTATTTAAAAATATAGGATTTAAAAAAAATATTGTCACTTTATGGGGCAGTTTTATTTTAGTCTCTGAGACGAACAATGTATGATAGCAGAGTAATGTCAATGAGAATTTTGTCATTTTGTAATATTTTCTTGGGATTAATCATCTATAGCACATCACACCACACATAATATACAAACAGCTGAGGTGTAACTATTTACATTTATATATTGTTTTATTTTTATGTTACATGGGGTCACTGTACTGAATAAAAATTGTAAATAGCAGTTATTAATAATGTTTGTGAAATAGTGTACTTTAATAGCACTATAAGATATTTTTAATCTCTTGCAAGAAATTATAGCATATTTCATTTAATAAATCCAGGTGATATGTAAAATAAATTGATAATCTGAATGTTTTGATCTTAAGAGATCAACATATACTTAGTTGTCCGTAGAAGAACAATCTTTCCTATATTTTAAAATATTTGTATGATTGACTGTGATTTTTTTTAATATTATTTCAAGTTGTTATATGTAATTAAGTTACTCAAACTATAACTAAAACAATTCTTATGTTGGCCATCACATAAGATTATCTTGTTCTGATACTTCCCTGCCCATAATCCTATTAGTAGGAGATTCGAAAAACTTCACAACCCAAGTAGACTCAAAATAGGGTTTTACTTGTCAGTTCATACAATTATTACCTCGTGTTTCCTAATAAACATACTTTCTGTATGTAAGGTAAACTAATTTTTTGACGACAACTTTGGCAAATATTGATTTTCTTATCACATTCCTGCCATCTAAGTATAAAATATAATCAAATCCGTCCGCACGTCTTCACGTACAATCAAACAAATCCAAACTCTTAACTATTATACTAAGAAGCATAGATTTGTTTGGTATATGTAGATTCCAATAAAGCTTTTTAGTGAAGAAGTGCAATGCTTACACAGGTTACAGACAACCCGGATATGTAAGAGGTCAAAGCTTTGTGAAAATGTTTATGCTAATTTTATTTCGGATGGTAGCAATCATTCTATATTGAATAGAATTTTATTTTGTTTATCATTCATCCCGATTTCGAAAGACCTGTCGCTCAGGTAAATATCTCACAGCGTTATTGTAATCCATGCACCGGCATCACGGCAAGAAAACCCCTTTATTTCAGCGAGGCAAAGTTGCCGAATGAATAATGAATACGACAGCCCGCATAAATGTTTTCCATGTTTCGTATTATGAAAACCGTGGCTCGATAACATAATCGGATTGCACGTTACATCGATTCGCGTCACCGCGCCGGACGTGAGGAAAGTATGACGTCAGGTTGCGCATACGAAGAAAGTAAAGTTGCGCGTGCGACTCTTGCTTTCGTACGGGGCCGCGACGTCTGCAAGATAGCGAAAACGGCACACTTCTGTCGCCGCACCATCCGGTATTCAGGTCTTGATTATGAAATCGAAACTTGTTCGATGTTCGTACGCTAAATGTGCTTTTTTCATGGGAGACGTGCGATAGGCAAATCATGCTAGTTGCTCTGTTCTTAAATTGTATTTATTTGCTTTATCCACATCCACACAGGCTTGATAAGGATAAGCTAAGGTAGAGCGTTTAGCGCTTGAGGATACGTATAGGCGCGTTACACAGCGAGCGCAAGGCTACTACTGTCACTCGTTCGTGACCCGTTGACTGATTTTAAGAAACTAGGTCAAGATCTTTAATTTATTTCGCTTTTGATATTGAATTACTTTTGTTGCACCTCAGTAAGACACGAGTGAAGTGCATTCGCAAATTTTTACTTTAACAGAATAAATATACAATCCCTTGGTAAAATAATGTAATAAAATATTACTTATCAGGGAAAATATAATAAAGTAATTACAGTATGATTTTGGTTTACTTTAAAATATAGTTTTATATTGATGATATCTATATAAAACTATATATATATATATATATATATATATATATATATATATATATATATATATATATATATATATATATATATATATGTTTTTTATAAAAATGAAGGAAAAGTAATAATGTGTTAGCAAATAGCTGAAATCATTATTTTTAATCGATGCTCTGTTGTGGGTCTTCACAAAATACGGTAACTAAGCAGTTGGGCGTCGCGTCGGTTGCCTGCTTTTTCTGCTTACAGATAATCACGTTTTAGGGCTGTAACAAATTTTATTTATTTCATCATAGACTTCAGACATTATAACAAATGAAATTTTTTAAAGCTACGTATTATTCACCGACTATTTCTTTCTTTTCTTGCCCTTAACGGGACTTAAGTACGGCAACTTTATGGTCATTTTACGATCCCCCGTAGAAAGTCGGGTTCAAACTCACCGCTTTTATACTGAATCTTTGTTAAAATCTTTACATTTTACAATATTTTTTTTAACTCTGCGTTTCATTGGATGCGATACAGAAGTTGTTAACGTGGATTATCTAGAATTTTATAAACGTTTGAAAAAATTGCCGAGAAAAATAAGACAAGCACATTATCAGTATCAGTAATTAGTTGTCAACGCTTATTCCCAAGTAAATGTATAATAGCACTCAAAAGCGTAATGTAGGCGTTTGACGGTTTAACAGCTCTTAGAAGGCATTCGTCGTAGCAAGGTCCGTAAACATAATACGAAAGCGAGTAAAGAGGTTGCGTCTGCGTTGTCAATCGTCGTCGCCGCAAGCAGAACTTTTTTCGCAGATGTAGCTATGTGTGTGCGGTGCGTTAGCGAGTGGTGCGCGATTGTGCGAACGTAAACAAGCAGCGGGCGCGGCAACCCTGCCCTGCTGCGGCACCGCGCGCAACTGGGTCAGTGGGCCGCCCCCCGCGCCGCAGCCGCCCGCGCTGTGGCGCAACCGCGCACTAACATAGACCTGGATCGCGAGAAAGTGGGTCACCGACTCACTTTCACTTATTACATGGGCTCCTAATCGTTTTCCATTGTGCGAACGGGCGGGGGCCTGCGGCGGGGCGCGCATGCGGGAGGCGCCGGCACGCGCACCGCCGCCGCCGGCCGGCCGCCAGTCGATCGCGAAACGTCCCCTGAGCGGCACGTGTGCTGCCGCCGATCACGCTTTCCACGCGATCGCAACTTCGCGCGTCCGCACACCGCCGCCGACCACACGAACAGTCGTCGCAGCGATCGGCTGCGACTCGCACGCACTTCTTCCGTTCATCTTTGTACTCGCTTAGAAAATGTGCCGGATTTATGTGTCGCCAATAATTGTGTTCAAACAGGTGCAGCCCGCGAGCGGCAGATAGTGTTGCGGTTAGACCGCTAGTGAACTCTGTGACTGTGTGAACGTTGTCGCGGTTGAACGCCGCCGTAGGGATTCGTTTACGAGCAGCCGCTCTGTGCGGCCGAGCATGACGATGGACCAGCAGACAGGCCTCATGTCCCTCAATATGTCCCCGTTCGACTTGAGCCCGGGTCCTGAGGGCTCCGGATCAGGCGGTGGACCATCAGGTGCTTCACAACAATATGTGCCGCAAGGTGCGGCTTATCAGTGCGCCCCGGACCAACAGCCTTTCGGTTATGCAAATTTGGACACTTCGTATCTATTCCCCACAGGAACCGGTGAACCAGGCGCATACTTGCCTGCAGCCGGCACTGTATGCGACCAAACCGACACCAAGGATGTTATAGAGGAGTTGTGCCCTGTTTGCGGAGATAAAGTCAGTGGTTATCACTATGGTCTGCTTACTTGCGAGTCCTGCAAAGGATTCTTCAAGCGGACCGTTCAGAACAAGAAAGTGTACACGTGCGTCGCCGAGCGCGCCTGTCACATTGACAAAACACAGAGGAAGCGGTGTCCATTCTGCCGCTTTCAAAAATGTCTAGACGTCGGCATGAAACTTGAAGGTGAGTGTTGACTTAACTCCACATCTCATATTATTTTATAACTGATATTATCCTGAGATTTCCTGCGTCAACATGAATTTAGTTAACACCGCTATACGAATGTATGTGGGTCGTACGTATGCGAGGTTGCAAATCGGGGCCCCGAAGGCATTACATCATGCAGCGGCGCCGGCGGCTTATGCATAAAAATTGAAAGTTTTCAGCGCTGAGCAAAAGAGTTATCATTGCAACTGCAATTTTACGGTTCGGGCGATTGCAGCTCGTCGCCGACCTTCACCTACTAAATATTTTCAACAGACGACTGCCATCTCTCTCTGTTAATGACTTTATCAAAGGGTTATTGATGCTGGGAACTACATAATATATTAGTTAATAAACAAGTGTATAGTATGCAACATTCCAAACACTTTCAAAGATGTATCTATAAATAAATAAGTGTTCACTTCAAGTTTTGATTAGGCTTTAATAAAAGTCTCCTATATATTTGTAATATTAACACATTTTGCAAGTGGTTTTTTCCTCGTATTTAATTTTGATACTTTAGTATCAAAATATACTTTAATACTGAATTTTTGTTTAAATTTAATATATTTAAATATACTTTAATATCAAAATTAAATACTAAGTTATACGAGGAGGCGAGGGTTTGAATAAAGGATTATACCTAGTATGAAACATAAAATAACTTATTATTTTTTCAATTATTTAAATTTATATTTAATTATACCCTTACTTATTGGAATAATAGATGAACTAAATAAAATAATTTAAAACGAAGTATCTAAAATTAAAGGCAGTATGTATGTCAATCGATTTTAGTAAAAGGTATATTCAGTAATTATGTTTGTGTTAATAGTGACGATAATGATATTTTCCATAAAATTTAAGTTTAATCAGACATTAAACGAAGTAAAACATATATAATGAAAAATAGATTTATGTACATTATATCCGGTTAAATTATTTTGTGGGCGTAAATTCCCTACAATATGTTACGGCAGTATCAGTTTTATAGTCACTGTCATTTTATGTTTCTTTTCGCCATAACTTAACACGCAGGATATAAATGTCAACGCTAATTCATTGTTATATTCATTAAATTAATTAATAATATTTAAAACAGCTAGAAATTTGTCATAACAGTAAAAGTCATCTTCAAGATTGCAACGAACAGTCAGCAACAGCGCAATATTTAGTTAGCGGTTAAGTTGCGATATAAACTTGTTTATTTGCTATTTTGTAAGGGATACCAAGTCTATATAACCAGTTTGCATGCAGCAGGGCAAGCCCCAAGGTTCTGCGCGAGTGACGACCGGTACTTTTCAATTCTTTCCGCGCAATGTACCTAATTCATTATTGTTAATATCGCTTAACGTTTTGAGCACAACGCCTAATTTCTATGTTTATTACAATAATTAAATGCTACCGAGGTATAAGCATTGTTTCATTATTATTTTGTTAGGCTACTCAAATTATTTAGCTATTAAATTGCAATTGCAAAATATTAAAGGAACCTTTAACAATTAACAAACATATTAAGGCTAAATCATAAAAAAATATTGCGATAATGGTATTCAGTCTTTCATTATGTAGTCGAAAATTGAATAAACTAGATATATTAACGCGCCATCTTAGAGTCGATACAAACAAGCGTAGGCTATAATGAGACCCTGGTCGGAGATAAGTTTAACTAAAGTATGTGAGGATAGAGAGGCAGGTGGAAATTTTGAAGGTAGCGCATTAATTTGTATAGTTAAGAGATCGCGGGGCGGGGCGGGGCGGGGTTTTGTAGCGCGGATCGTTCTAAATTTAAAACGCGCGCGGCCGCAGGGCGCCCTGACCTACTTGCGAGCGGGGCCACGATGCGGCGCGCGCGCGCCTGTGCGTGCACATACGTACATACGTAACGCGAGGTTGCCGCTGTGCGTGTGAGCCGCTCGCCGTCGCGTTTCGCCAGATGCTGCGATGTTTGCAACATCTATTACCCGCGCTGAAATCTGAATAAACAGGCCTGGAAAGAATTCGCATGCAAGGCTACTATGGATATTCGCAAATGCGCAGCGGCCTCACTAAAACGGGATAGTTGGGGGGATTTCCCAATGTTTTCCTTTTAGCTATAATTGTCAGTCAATATTTCACCACAATGCACATCAATAGTGTTGATGTTATATCACTGCAGCGCATACATTAAAGTCGATCGAATTAAGATAGAAGTGGAAGTTGCGCTACAAATGATAACAATTGATGAATAAAATATGAATTCAAACAAAAGAATTTCTTTTATTAGAAATTAGGTTTTTGTATTGTAAGTGGTATTTTTAGATAATTTGTAACTCCTGTGACTTGTTACATTTGTTTAGAATTTAGATCAACCGGTGGAACCATGTCACAGATTATAATTTAAAATATTTCAACGACTGTAGCATAATTTCACCACAAATTGTTTTTTGAATAAATGACTACTATGATTATGGCTATAATATACTATTATATTGTGTTAGTAAAACTAGAGATAGGTACTATCAGATATAATATACAATTCAACTTCCATCCAGAAAACAGAATGATTTGAAATAATCTGATAAAGATAATAATATAGCTATCATTACATTAGTTGATGATACATTTGTTTATAAAAATATTCAGTAATTTAAAAAAAAATATATATATATATATATATATATATATAATCGAAATACCATTGACTGACCGACTCATCATGAGATCTCTATCACGCCCAATTGACTTGAATTTGGTAAAGTTACACATTTCGCCATGTAGACGCTCACTTAGAACGATTTTACGATAGTCCCATCAAAAAATAAAATAGGTTCCTCTATAAAATATTATCGTGGGCCTATGATTGCAATTGTGTAAAATAGAATCAGTACGCTAAGAACTACACGATTCATTGTCAGTATAAAAATGATGTTTGTAAGAATTATAAGTCACACTGTTGATACTGTCTTCATTGCAAGACAGAAATAGTTATTAAATGGTACAACCGTCACCGATTATATCACGAACCAATAAAACAGCTTTTACGTGTCATTTCGCGATCGAGGTTCTCAATTGAGCAAATGTTACGCTTGCAATATACGATTACAGTCTTTTATTTGACTCAAATAGTTATCATTATGTTTTATGCAACGTGTCGAATTCAAACTCTGCCGCTTATCAGACGGTTGTCCCAACGTGAACTTTAAAAACTATCTATTATACGCTTTAATTACTCGCTAAAAGGGCTAAACTTTTATTCGGCAATTTATTTTCTTCGAAAGTTCTATAGGTATATATGGAATGTCGATTAAACCTATTATGTGAACGAAATTACTAATTCTGGCGTGATAATTAGCTCAAGTATTAATTTACCATTTACGGTATAAATTTGGTTTAAGTTATAATAAATATAATATCAAAATAGAGTAACTTTACAACTAAAGAAATCCATTCTTCCATACAGTCAAGAATTTCGTCAGTGGAGATCGTTAAGTAACTGTTGTTGAACAATGTTGCAAATTACGATAGCGAGGTTTTAACAAATATATTGCAAGTATTGTCGGAGAAAACTGCAAAAACGAGCCTTAATATAATGTAATAGCATAATGTTAGATGGCATAATTGTTGGCTCAAACATATAGCAGTTATACACGGCCAGTGCCTTGTTAAACGTAAATAATCATAAGCAAATGAGGGTTCCAACAGCTTCACCCGCAAACAGTATACGTTTTAAAGCTATTGCCCCTAATTTGAGACTTAAACAGTTAATAGATCTGTACTATTTTATTTTTTGAAATGTTTGTATCAAATGACCGACTTTACGTTAGACTTCATTGTTATATAATTAATTATGCGATCTGCTTATAGGAAAAAAAAAACATTAAAAAAGAAAAGTTCGTGCCAAAGCTCTGAAAGTGAACCATAACGACATAACATGAGAAATATCAGGCAACAATGAAGAACAATATTACTATACTAACTTGATGACCCATTTAGTGAAATGTCAGCAAAAACAAACAGTACTCGGTTACCGCGGCAGAGCAGGCATTATTCGTGCAAAATTACCCATGGGTTACGTAATCGGGCTCTATCTGAACTACTGACATACTGAGAACTTTGTAAACGTGTTGGCTTGACTATTGGAATTGACTAGAGATATAAAAATTGCACGTTTTAATGTATTTCAGTATAACGTTAACATATTACAGTGTTTGACAAAGCGAGATAGTGGGAAATATCTATAGGAAATAATATTGAATTCGGAGAATTTATAAGAAATGTCTGGATGTTTTTAAATAAAAAGGGTGTGAAATTATAAGTTATTTACGCCTCACGCGGAATAGCGAAAATTGGACAGCTTTTATCGTACCATAATAGGCACAATTATTTTTAACGTGTACAGTGTACAGCCTGAGGGTAGTTGCGATGGGTGTACTGCGGCGAGCATATTACATTTCGACACAATCGTCGCCGGTGGGGTGCGCTGCGCAAGCGGCGTTGCACAAGACGCCTCGCTCGACCTGTCGCAACGGACTACCCAAATGTGACCTGAACACGTATCACGTTACATGTTCATGGGTATGCGTGCCGAATTTACTCCGACCAGATTGTCTGGACGCTTACAACTCCACTTTAATACATTTTATACTGTTCATTAATGTACATGATATCAGCCTATTTACCTGCTTCGATAATAGGTATCTAATTTTATAATTATGAACATAAGAGCGCCCTACGTTCTTCTTAGTGCAAGTGGTAGTGGTAGATTTATGTAAATCACATCAAAAAGGTATAGCTTCATATTCAGTATGTCAAATAAGGAACTAACGAGTTATTAGTAACCCCAGGATGCTTAAAACACGTGTGGTTTATTAAGTCCACCAGGTTTGGAAATAAAAACTGGTGATTAAAAAAAAACAAGTCCGTGTCAGTCGCCGAAATCAGGCATTCTTAATTTGTTCCCCTGTGTGGGCACAGAGGCGCGACGCGGCCAAGCGGCG